GGAATGAGTATGCAGAATGGTCACGGCGTGGCAAGGAGATGCCATGGAGAAGGAGAAGGCCACGAGTTGCTCTGGTGACCCGATTTCTGTTCTTGGCCTTGTCACTGGTTGCCTGTCTGGCCTTCAGAGGAGACATTCAGCTGTCTGTACTTTGGTTTCAAAGCCTCTTATCACCTAAACAGACGTGACCTTACGTTAGTTGGTGGTGGAGCTTCATGCCAGTGGTACCATGCAAACACTGTTGTAATGCTTTTAAAAAGAAAAAAAATTCTGTGCCATGGAAAACATGGACTAAGACTTGAGTGAAAACTTCCTCCCCTCTTTGAGTTTAGTGGTTTTGAAGGAGCTTTTTGTGGTGGTAAATTTAAAGGATGATTTCCAAGTGTATTGAAGTGCTTCGTGCCTGGCAGATACTGGTGGCTCTGGAAGATCAGTTCCCATCGGAGTTGTCACTCTCTCGTGCATCCTGCTATCAGCCCACTCTGTGTGTATGACCGGACTGGCTTCTGTCTGAGCTCTTAAAATTTCTGTAATGCTTCTCTGAGAAGAACATGGACTACTTGGAGACAAAGCGAAAACGTGTATCTCCAAGAGGACAACTGTATTTTTATGTTTTTTTTGAGATCAGTTATGAGTGAAAACACTTCCTTACAGGAATGAAGTGACTTAACTACTGTTGGCCATTGACATCTCCTCATCCCGCTGATGTTAAATGTCATCTACAATGTGTTCATATAGCCATAGTCTGTTCTCTTACGTGTAAGTGACTGGAGAGAGCCATGGGCAAGGACAGCAGCCTGGTGCAGTGGAGGGTGTCCCTGCCCATGGCAGGGGGTTGGAACGAGACGATCTTTGAGGTCCCTTCTGATCCAAACCATTCTATGAGTCTATGACCATTCTGTGATATTCCAGTTCTGTTTCCTCTCCTGGTGTGGGTTGTTGCTGACAATACCTTTGCCCACTTGAGTCGGAAGGCATGAAGAACTGTAAGTGGCAAGGGCAGGAAGGGGACTGAAGCGTTTTTAATGCGTGGGGTTTGGTTTTTTTTAAGTGTATGTCCACTAGGGAGCAGCAAAAACATGTATTCCTGGATGCTTTGGCTTTTCGGACATTGTTTTCTGCTTTTCAGGGAGGGGGAGAGGAGCTTCAGAAGGAAGTAGTGATCTGTTCGTGTGGAGGAAACCATTCAGCTGCGCGTGGCAGCGGACGGTGTCTTGGCAGGAGGCTGGAACAAAAGTCCCAAAGTGCACTCTTTGGGAATTCTGTAGCACGAGAGAGGTGGGAACCAAACAAATGAGGAAGATAAGACACCATATGCTGTATTTATTGAGAGCGGTATCGGTGTGTCTGCAGTTCACAAGATGGGGAAGATGACTAAGTGTAACAAGGTCAGCCCAAACCTAGTTTTTCACTTCAGGTAGCCTGGCCTCTGTACAGTGATTCGATGTAAATACATCCCACTGTAGGCATTCCGGTGCCTGCACACTTAGGATGAACCAATGATACTATTTAAACAGGAAAAAAAAAAAGTCATGGATGAAGCAAGTGAGATAAAGGCTTGCTTGTTAAGAAAGCTGAAAGAAATACCAATGTGTGAATATTTTAGGAGATTTATAATGGTCTTGGTGGGTTTAAAAAATAATTTGTTCAAGTGTAAATTACCAAAGGCATACCAACAGGACAGTAATTGTTAAATGTTCTCATAGTTAAACTCTGAATAATAAAACTTTCCTTCCTTCTCTGATGGGGGGTGATGGGAAGTTGCACCTGAGAACTTTATTATATCTTTTCTGTAGGGGCTGATTGGCACTAATTTGTTTTGATTCAAAATCTTGGGGGAAGGAGTTGTTTTCATAGAAAGGGATACAACTCAAAACTGAGCCTTTGAGATGGAACGTATGTTTGAGATCAGGTCACCATATATTTAAATCCCTGATATCCGGGGATAGAGAGAGCTGTAAAATCAGAGGCAATTCACGTGGTTATTTTAAACTCTTGATTTTCAGTGAAACACTGAATCTTAGATTTTGGGGCATCTTTTGCTTTGCCAGCTGGTAATCCTCACGCCTTTGTGTGGGATTTCGTGTGTGCCCTTGAAAGAGCTTTGTTTATGGCTCAGTGTGTTTTTGTGGTTTGGGCATGAATGTTTAAGATTTAAAGTTTGTCTAAATCTTTGTATTTTAATCTTTCTGCGTGCATGTACACAAGTTCTGTGCTAGCTTTTGCTCTCCACAGCTGAACAAGTGAAGTTCAGAGTATTGCTACAGCATGGTTTTCTGTCTGGCTTTGGTCCTGTAAACGCAGGAAGGAACAGAGAAAGAAATTTGAAGTAGTAGTCTTCCTTCTCCAAGAACTTCGACGATTTAAAGAATGAAACCTGATCATCTTAGACGTGATTAGTCTGTCGTTCCTGCCCCCGTGCCCCTCCTTTACTGGTGCGGTCGACAATAAATAATTAGTAAACCAGGAGCATGAGTAATGTGAGGCCGTGCTGCCCTGCGGTGTCATAAATAACAGGTCTAAACCTCGTTGTGCTCGTGTGCAAGGCCGTGTTCCCGGGTCGTGCAGGGACTGGTTTTCAGTGGGATTAAGCCTTGATATGCTCTTGCCTCAGCGCAGGATTGAAGCCTTCAAGTGATGTGTAAAGTGTTAAGCTGGGGCAGTGAGCAGCGTCCTGTTTGTCACTTCTAAAGCTACACTCATGGTTACTGGGGGGAGAAAAAGTCGTTACTTGTGTTGGGTTTGAACACAGCAGAACTGCTGGAGAGGGTACTGTGTTACCACAAAGATGAGCAGAACTGTAAGGGAACTTCTTTACCTGGAGGCGAAGGTCAAGGATCGCAGCGTTTCCCTTCTGATACATAACTGTATAAGGAGAGGTGGCTTCAGCTTTGAATGTGACTTCCATCTGCTCATCTCCTGTTTTTTTATCCCATTAAAAAGCCTTGCAGTGTTGTCCTTTAGCATGACAGTTCTGTCTTTATGTGACCAAAAGATTATAGGGCTCATAGTGTTTTGAACTTTTATTTCTTTAGACATTCCAGTTGTTTTTCGATGCACAACATGTCCCAATATTAACATTAATGTCTCTTTTCCCAACACAGCATTACAGTGTTACTGCCATCTGTGCACAAAAGACAACTTCACGTGCGTGACAGATGGACTGTGCTTTACCTCGGTGACACGGACCGCGGACAAAGTCATACACAACAGTATGTGCATCGCGGAAATCGACCTGATTCCCCGAGACAGACCCTTCGTTTGTGCCCCCTCCTCCAGGGACGGGGTCATCACTGTGCCTCACTGCTGCGACAGGGACCACTGCAATAAAATAGAACTTCCAATTCCAACACCAGGTAAGGAGTTTGGCCATAGTTGACTCAGATCGTTTGGGGGTTTTTTTTTAACGGAAAATTCTGTAAGAGTGGAAGTTTTGAAGTTGTAGGTGAATTTGAAGGCCTAAAGTACACCTTAGATTCTGCAAATCAAATTTCTTGTTCCAAATCTCCTGAAGTTTTTATCTTCTGGATAGGGATGTTGGGGCCAGTTTTGAAAACTTGTATGCAAGTTAGAAACCATGAGTAAGCACGTAGTTGCTTTTGTCCTTTGTAATACTTATTTCTATTCTCGAACAAGTTACTGTGGAAAAGTTTTAGCAAATTCATTGGAATAATTTGAAGATCTCTGTGAAACACAATAAATCTAGTTGCATAAAAAGGAAGAAATAGTTTTACCATTTTGTTTTATTTCTGCTGTCAGGCCCTACTCCAGGAAAACCAGCTTCTAACCTGGGACCTGTGGAACTGGCTGCTGTCATAGCTGGACCTGTCTGCTTTGTCTGCATTTCGCTCATGTTGATTCTGTACCTCTGTCACAACCGCACTGTGATTCATCATCGTGTGCCGAGCGAGGAAGATCCCTCGCTGGATCGTCCCTTCATATCAGAAGGAACTACTTTAAAGGATTTAATTTATGATATGACAACTTCAGGCTCTGGGTCAGGTAATGTCACGCTCTGTTTAAGAGCCTTGTAAGGCATCTTTTTTTTTTTAATATTGTCAAATCTACTTAAACATATAATTAACTGGTGAAATGACTAGAAAAACTACTTCCATTTAGATTCGTGCAGTATCAGTGAAGATTCAACATATGGAAATAAATGAAATGAACGAGTTGCTGCTGCTGTTCCTTGTTATTCTGAGTCTCCCTGACAGCAGGGAGTATCACAGTGAGCTATTGTAAATGTTTTGTTTCCTCTGTTAGGAAAGGCTCAGTCATTTACCTTTTTGTTCTGCACAGGGTATCTAAATTACCATCTTCTGTGTTTTGAGATTTGTGAAGTTTTTTTGTTGAGCTTAAAACTGAAAATTCCTTTGTATCTGTAGCTATTGGTGTATGAAGAATATTCTCAATTCTAAGTTAATATTTTAGCCAGTTCTCCCCTTACAGAAGGTACTTTTTTCAGTTGCAAGTAGCTATTTCTGTGCATATAGAGTGGACGCAGTATGCAGACCCTGTCTGAATAATTTCTCTCTCTTGATTTCAGGATGTTTGGTTTTAATTCTGACTTTTAACAGGTGTTGCTCTGGGAAGGTGAGGCAGTAGTCTGTTCACTGCATATAGTCTCTGCTGTCGTAATCCTGACATAGCTGCTTGTAGGATTGTGGTGGTCTGTGTCACAGACACAGGATTTAATAGGTGTTGATAGGGGATGATGTGTCAGATAAATCATTGTATAAATTAATTAATCTCTGGTCCGTGTGAAGGAGCGAGACATCAGATTGTGTACTGCAACCTCTTGTCGGCCTTATACTATATAGAAAGTTTAAATAATTTAATACTGAAAATTATTCCTACTACTTGCAAATGTGTGTGCTGAGACATCCAGGCCCTTTCAGAGTACTTTCTGCAAAGGAATACTGGTGTTTGGTTCTCAACTGCTGAATTCTTTCATTTCCTGGAACTGAAAAAAAGTAGAACAACAAAACCCAAGCATCTGGGTTTTATTTCTTTCCCAAGGGCAGTAACTGGTACAAGTGTTTAGAGTCCTTTGCTCTTTCCAAAGAGTAAAATCTGTAACTTGCTGAACATGTTTAGAATATAGGTCGAAATAAGTCACCTTTTAGTCCTATCTGTGCTGAAGAAGGTGAGGTTGCACTGAGTATGCAGGTATTTATGCTTCAATTGAGAAAGTTTTTGTGTGTCCAAATGAGATTTGATCATGATAGGGTAAGGTGCTCTCTGGTTAGAACTGGAGCGTTTAGTACTTTGTGTTTACCTCAGTTTTCTCATTTAGTAACAGCAATAACTAAATCAAGTAGTGAAAGTGATTCCTAGAACTTCCAATACAGTGGGCTAGAACTTGATAAAGGCAAATGCTGAACTTACCCCTGAAGTTTTGTCCTTTCTGGGAGGGGTGTGCAGAAGTAAGAGGCGCAGTAAGGAGATATGAAGGAGTCACAGATTTACATTTCTTGGAATGCAGGAAGTTATATATAATTGTTACACTATTAGGAACATAAAACTCGTAATATCTGCAAGTACAGAATCTTCCTAAAGAAGGCTGAAAAGAAATTCTTTATTTAAAAAAGTTAAACCTTAAAAGAGTAGACCTATGTTCTATATATATAAGTAGTCATCTGCAATGTACTTCAGTAAACTCAGGAAAGAAAACCTTTAAATTTTTCCCTTGAAACTGTGTTTAGTCATTACTTTTTTTAAAGTACTGTCTGGTTGATAGTTCCATTCTAACTTCTGTAGATGATCACAGCACTTCAGCCACTTTCTGCATGGCTGTTTTGCCATGCTTTAGACCAGAAGTCAGGCCTATGATAATGTTAGTTCAGACTTAGTTGTCAGTTATCACAGAATCCCAGAATGTCAGGGATTGGAAGGGACCTCAAAGGATCATCTAGTCCAATCCCCCTGCCGGAGCAGGACCACCTAGATCAGATCACACAAGAACGCGTCCAGGTGGGTTTGGAACATCTCCAGAGAAGGAGACTCCACAAACTCTCTGGGCAGCCTGTTCCAGTGTTCTGTTCCCCTTACTGGGAAGAAGTTCTTCCTCATGTTTAAGCGGAACCTCCTGTGTTCCAGCTTATACCCATTTCCCCTTGTCCTATCGTTGGATGCCACTGAGAAAAGCCTGGCTCCATTCTCATGGCAGTCACCCTTTCCATATTTATAAACATTACTGAGGTCCCCCCTCAGTCTCCTCTTCTCCAAGCTAAAGAGACCCAGCTCCCTCAGCCTTTCCTCAGAAGGGAGATGCTCCACTCCCTTCATCATCTTTGTGGCCCTGCGCTGGACTCTCTCCAGCAGTTCGTTGTCCTTCTTGAACTGAGGGGCCCAGACCTTCTCATTTGTTATCAGAAATATTCCTTCACTTTCCTTCTGGCCTCTTTCCCTGTGGTGCTTCTGAGCCTCTCTTCATATTTGAAAACTCTGGAAATACTCTTTCAAAATCAGCTCTTGAAAAGCAGGGAATCCCAGTTAGAAGAAACTTGGGATTCTTCCTCCAGAGCAAATGGTCGGGAACTACTGGCTCTTCCCTTGCCGGTGTGGAATGACACTTTAAGTAAAAGCAGCACGCCGGAGAATGACTTAGTTTTCAGAGCTTCGGGATGCTCAGGCTGATGTGGGCTCCCAGAACACCTGACCTGCTGAGGCTGCATCTGAGGAAGAGGACCAACACATGTGCTTGAATTTGCCTTGCCTCTAAGGACAGCTCTTCACTCATTTGTTTTGATGTTTGAAAGACAAAGTCGTGTTCCCTGCAAAAGATGAGATGAATGTTTCCTTAAGAATGATCTTTTGACTCCAGCTGCAGTGACTTCCATGGCGTTCAGCTCTTTGCAAAACGAGTATTTGCCTCTTTTAGTGCTCTGTCCTTACCCTGTATTAGGACAGTGGGACAGAATGTGCTTTGAGTACTCGTTTTCTATACTGCTGGCAGTGTATATATTTGCAATGACTTGTACCACTTTGTCTCAGAATTAGTCACTGACAGTGCCCTAGCACTCGAACTGATAACTTTCTCGTGTTCTGAAATATGCCTGCAGCAATCAAATCTCAGGGAAATGGGTGTTTTAATCCAGACTTTGGTACAGTGCACTTAAAATTGAGAAGACTGTGCATTTATGGAATAAACTGGGGATGGATAACGGGGTCACTGAGGGGAGAAAAGTCAGAGCTGCTTGTTAAAACAGTGCTTAACCCTGCCAGAAACTGAACTTGTGAAGGGATGCTGTTGGGGCAAGAAGTTGGAAAAAACACAATGGAAAGGTGCAGAATAGACAAAATAATCCAGGCCCAGGAGGCACAGATAAGGAGGTGTTTGGTCTGGTGACCTAAAGCAAACGTTCTTCTCCTAAAGTCATGCTGAAGGTCCAAAAGAGCTTGTAGTCAAGATGGAAAGGATTCTACCAGCTTTGTATTGTGGTGTTCTCTGAAGAGAAGCATGTAAAACAGGGGAGTGATCAAAACTCTAAAAATGAGCTTTCTGCTCAGATCAAAAGGAAAGCAGGATTCACTTTCTGCAGTGAGGAGTAGTAAGCTGTTATTAATTATTCATTCTTGGCTTCTGCTAGACTTGCCCTCTTGTTCCGTGATGAGCAAGACCTAAAGCAACTAGAAGCTTGATGAAAGGAATTGATGAAACATCTAAAATAGAAGCTGCAGCTTTAGCAGAAGGATCTAAGAGAAAGATTTCAAGTCTCTTGGAGCTGGGAATGATTTTCAGATCATGATACAAATCTCTATAAATATCGGCTACGTGTTGTACAGAAAAATTGGGATGCCCCACTGTTACTCTCCTTCTCAGAAATGACAAAGTAACTTGGTTGCAAGGAAGTGGGAAGAATTGCCTAAGACAGGAGGGAGAAGCTTTGTTTTTTATTGGTAGGTGACTTCAAGCAGGAGTTTAAAAGTGTTTACAAATCCAAAGGGTCACAAAAGTCAGTGTCAAGTTGAGTCGGTAGAGGTAAATGTGAAACTCCTCAAGAACTTATCTGTGGTTCATAGAAGCTTGAAGAGAATTAGACTTTTCACAGTTCATGGGGCTGTTTGGTGTTTTTTTATTATTATTCTTCAGAGAAAGTCATCTGGGCAGAGACTTTTGACCAAAATTATAAACAAGAAAAAAGTTCTAGCAGCTGCTTTTGTTGGCTACCTTTAGTGCTTTAGAACTTAATTCCTGAGTTATCCAAACCAGGTACAAACTTGTAATGTGTTGGACAGTCATTGATCCCCACTGATCAGAGTACAGTTAAGATGTGGAAAAGAAAAAGAACTGAATTTCCTTAAACTCTCAGAAGGCTTGGGGATACTTTGTTAACGACGTACGAAGATGATGATGGAAGGCTTCAGGGATGACCGTGGCTGAATACAAGATGCCAAATATTACGAGCTGCTGTTGAATTTAACATGAGCTTGAATTTTCTCATCCTCCTGAACAGCAAACCGACCATCATCTCCATGCACAGTCCGAAGAGGCCGTACTCCAGGAGCCTGACGTGCCGTTGTGCCCACTGTGGGTGTCAAAGGCTGATGTTGTAGCTGTCTCCAGTGAGCCGCTCGCTCTTCAGGCAGTCTGGCGCTTGCAACAGGAGAGATTTAAAATAAATAACCTCCCACCCTGTTTGGTGATTCCAGTGCTGCTCGTTGGGTGTATAAACTTACTGGAGCACGTTACGGGGTGCTGGGAGTTGAGGGCACCTAGATGTTCCTAAGCTAGAAAACCTTCATAAATGTAAGCCTTCTCCAGTACAATTACGTGCGTAAGACTGGCCTGTGAAATGGGAGGTTTGCATAACAAGGATGTTTTCCTCTTTTGTGGTGACTTGAGAGTACTAAGGGGCTGCTAGGGTGATTGGGCATGAGTGTGATCGTTCGCCAGTGTGGCTGGTACGCGTGGTTTAACTTGAACTTGGAAGTTCTAGATAGGACTAGCAAGTCCTATCTAGTGATAAATCAGGAATGCATTGGTAGCAGAGGTGCTTTGGAACTGCTTTGCAAGGAGAGTTATGGGCAGAGCCTTTTCTTAAAAAAAAAAAGCAAAGCAAAAAAAACTCCCCACACAATCCTGGTACTGATTACTTCATGATTTGTTTCTCTTTTTTTTCATTAAAAGACAACCTTATGAATCAACAGCTGTCCAAATTCTAAACTGAAAGGAAGTTTATGCATTTATAACAACTGTAGAGGCAGTTTGTAAGATTGTCTCATTGAATACTGGCCTTTACAGTTGAAGGCAGCATCTTACCTATGTGCTCATTAGCAGTTCCCAACAAGTTCTTAAAATCTTGGAGAGTATATGTGCATTCTAAGAGAAACATCTTCATGAAATATGAATCTTGTAGTACTTGTGATAAGTGCTTATTTTGTTAGAATGACGTTTAAGGTTAATGTTGGATCTTCTTTTTAGGTTTGCCTTTACTTGTGCAAAGAACAATTGCAAGAACGATAGTGCTTCAAGAGAGCATCGGTAAGGGGCGCTTTGGAGAAGTCTGGCGAGGGAAGTGGAGAGGAGAAGAAGTTGCTGTGAAGATCTTCTCTTCAAGAGAGGAGCGCTCCTGGTTCCGCGAAGCAGAAATTTATCAAACAGTTATGCTACGGCATGAAAACATCCTTGGATTTATAGCTGCAGACAACAAAGGTCAGTGATACCATGAATCCGTTCTGCTGATTGTGTACTCAGTTAGAACAGGTTGTAACTGGAGGGGGAAACAAAGTTGTGAGGATCCAGTTAAGAGCAGCAAAAACTACTTCTGTTACTAGAGAAAATGAAATGTTATTTCATGAAAAGCCTGCCAAACCCTGGGTTTAATGAAGGAAAAAGGTACGTTTTCCTCTTTCTGGAAAACATGCTTTGTGTAAATCTTGGAAAAAAAAAAAGAGGCATATTTAGTGAGCTGTAATTTCTACAAGCAAGTTCAAGTACTGGCTAAGTTTGGAATGAAAAAGGAGATGCCTTAGCCTGTCAGCCCACGTATCTGCTGAATACCTGTACTCCCCTAATAATAAAACAGCCGTGTGGGACCAAAAGAGATCGTATCTAATCCTGTTGTCCTCATGTAAAGCAGGAGGTAGAAGATTGATTTTTAAGGCTGAGATATGAGTAGTTACTCATTTAGAACTCCAGTCAGAAAAGGAATGGGAAAAAGGGAATGAATGATTTATTCCTAGTTTTAAAAAACTACCTGTCTCCCGAAGCTCACCTGATAAGCTTTTACGTATCCACTAAAAGGAACAGTTTAAGCATTTTTTTCAACTTGATTAGTTGTGGTTTCAGTCAGATGAAAGTTTCTGGGGTTTTCCTGCAGTCCAGTTCAAGACACGAAAATTTGGCAAAACCAACAAAAGTTTTGAATTTCTTACATTAAGGGGGGCTAAAATGTTATGCTGCTTCATTCAGTTATTTTAATCTGAAATTACATGTTTAGCCACAACTAGCCTTTGGCTTGCTTGCAAAGAAAGCACTCACAGAAAGTTCTGCCATCTTGCGGGGGGGGGGGGG